ACTATTCTCGCACAAATGTGAAGAATTTTGAAGAAACCGCTCTATTTTAGTATTACCAACTATCACGAATTTGATGAGAAAATATTGTTCAAGAACAGTTTTCAAATATCATTCGTAATATGCATTTTCACTATTATCAGTTATCAGTTTTTGTAAATATTATAATATGGAAACTTTTTCAGCAAACGGACGATCTTTTGGAAGATATGCTAAAACGGTTTCGTCACGATGATTTAGATGTCTGGTTCATTTATGAGCAACATTTGCTGCAAACAGAACGACCTGAGAAAGCACGAAGTTTGATGAAGAAAGCAATCACTTGTTTGCCCAAAAAATATCGTACGACTTTTTTTTTGCTCAAATTTGATTATCAACTTGCAATGCGATGAGAATATTAGTCCAAGAATTCAGACTGAGTATCGATGATTGACACACCAGATGTTGGCTCTAGTAGTTTAGAAATATGTATTAGAGTCATGGTATGCGTCTCTAACATTCAAAATGTGGCAGTGGTTTTGAAAGATTTCATGTTGGATATTCTTTTTTCTTTACTCAGTTTTTCAGATGTGCTTGTTTTGAGTCGTTTTGCACAACTGGAATTCAAATTTGGTGATATGGAACAAAGCAAAACAATTTTTGAAAGTGTTTTAAATTCGTTCCCAAAGAAAACTGATGTGTGGACTGTTTATATTGATCTATTAACCAAATCTGGAAGAATTGACGACGCAAGGTGAATATGGAGTATTGACAGTTGCACTTGGGTTTTTAGCTTTATTTTTTGAAAACGAGACGTTACTTTTTTCTTCGGTATTCGCAACTTTTTCAGAAAGTTACTCGAGCGAGTCACTGCACTTGAATTATCTACCCATAAAATTCGGTTATTTTATCGGAAATGGATGAATCTAGAGGAGAAGTATGGTGACGAAAATCGCTTAGATAATGTTTGTTTTTTGCACACAGTTGTTTGTGAGATAAAAAGCTGTACCTCATAATTTGAGTAAGAATTTTGAAGTCGTTAAAATTAATAAGGAAAGTGGATAACGAGTTTATTCTGAGATGTTTTCTCCAGATTCGGTCTACAGATATTTGCAATGCGAATGAAGCAATTTCGCAAAGATTTGGCATAACTAAC